CTTTAATATTTCAAAGGACACATGACCTAGACAATTATGATACAAAAAAAAAACTTGTCTCCTATTGGATTGTGCAGCGGATTTTTTTGTAGATTTATGAGTTAATTTTGTTGATTATATGTTTAGAAAGGAAGTGGGGACCACAACATACTTGTTGGGACCCTTTGGAGTGTTTTGGAGTGCCTTTTTTAAGTTCTTTATTGAGTTTTTGTGTTCAACCACTATATAAGGGCATATTTGTCTTTGTATACATTTTTTACTTTGAGTATAAATAATAATGAGGGGGCAGCCAGATTTGATTGCTCTCTCATTCTTTTCTCTACTCTTTCTCTTCTTCTTCTCTCTATAGATTTCTACTTGGTATCAGAGTAGGATTTGAGCTTTTTCTGTGCTCCCATCATGCAACCATAGATCAGCCGACTGCATGGTGAGTGTGTTTAAGGAGGTTTCTAAGTACTAGAAGGGTGTTTAAGGTCTCTGAAGGAGATAAATCCATTCTTTCTCACCTATAGTTGTTTTCCTAAACTATCCTGAGAATTATGGAGGGCTGGAGCACTGAGCAAAGTTCAACCAGTGACATGGGACTGGGTGGAGGACTAAGTAAACTGTGGAGCAAGGTCCAAAGAATCTTTTGGACTTGGGATTATTATCACAGTTAAGTTAGATGGTACAAACTATTTAGAATGGGCACAATCAGCCAAGATGGCTATTGGAGCTCATGGGAAACTAAATTATCTTACTGGGGATGAAAAAAAACCTGATAGGCAGATAAAGATTCCCCTCGATGGGTACAGGAGAATTACATGGTGATGTCTTGGTTGTATAATTCAATGTTAGCACATATTGGTAAGAATTTTTTGTGGGCAAATATAACAAAGGAAATTTGGGATGGAGTGACTAAAACCAATTCCTAGAAATAGAATATAGCTAGAGCCTATCAATTAAGGAATTAGGTGATTAATACAAAACAGGAAGATAAGCCTCTTGCTATGTATTTCTCCATTGGCAGGAGATAGATCACTTAGAAGTTGTGGTTTGGGATAGTATAAAGGATGTAGAAACCTATCGGAAGTTGGTAGAGAAGAATAGGGTCTTTGAGCACTTGGCTAGACTAAACCCAGAATTTGATATTGCTAGACAACACATCCTTTCCAAAGAGAGTGTGAGTCTTTCTCAAGCTTATGCATTTGTGTCTAGAGAGGAGAGTAAGAGCAAAGGAAGTAGTATGATTAGCGTCTAGACTCTACTAGCCACTTGAAAAACTAGAACCAATTGAATCCTTCTTACTCATAAGCAATCCAAACTTTTCCAATTCAGCTTTGGTTGTTGCCATTGCAATGGACTCCAAATTGGCTTGAGTAAGAGGTCCTAGAGAGTCTCCAGTAACTACCACATTTGCATTTCCCTTCTTGTTCTTGACCCAAGCTAGTATGAGATGTGGATGGAGCTTCCAACAAGTGTCTCTAGTATGCTTAGGCTTCTTGCAATAGTCACACACCAAGTCCTTATCCTCCCTCCTGACCTCACTACTGCCCCTGTCTCCATTTGGCTTAGGTTTGACTATACTAACCATAGCCAACTAGTCAACTCCAGACTATCTCAACATGACAGGTCAAAGCACATTGAAGTTGACAGGCACTTCATAAAAGAAAGGGTGACAGCCGGAGAAGTTTGCCTGCCATATGTATGTCTCCTCAAAGTTACAGTTGGTTGATATCTTCACCAAAGGGGTTGCAAAGAACAAGCTTGAACATGACCTATGCAAGTTGGGAATGTGTGACATTTACTCCCAGCTTAAGGGAGAGTGTTGAGGTTTTTTGTGTAGATTTATGAGTTAACTTTGTTGCTTATTTGTTTAGAAAGGTAGTGGGAACCACAGCATACTTGTTGGGACCGTTTGGAGTGTTTTGGAGTGCCTCTTTCAAGTTCTTTATTTTTTTGTGGTCAGCTGCCATATAAGGGCATACTTGTATTTGTACACATTTTATACTTCAAGTATAAATAATAATGAGAGGGGGCGACCAGATTTGATTGCTCTCTCATTCTTTTCTCTACTCTTTCTTCTCACAGAACTTCCACTTTTCTTCATCTTTTTGTACAATTTTTTTTATTTCTGCATATTTATATTGATCGACGCAACTGACCATGCAACTCTGAAGATGACACCAAGAAACCAACCTCATTGTTGAGGGTATAGAGACCATCTACTAAGCTACCTCTACCAACCGTCTTCCTAGAAGTTAGATCCTGAAAAACACATGAACCAGGAAAAGAGGTTATACTATAATTTAAAGAGTTTGTGATACTACTAATGGAAAGCAAATTGATAGGAAGTTTAGGTACATGCAACACATTATTAAGGTTTAAGGCCATGGGGAAGGGATATTGACCCCTGGCCTACAATGGAAAAGAATGATCCATCTATAAACCTCACTTTATCTCTCCCTGACAAAAGGTTGTAAGACTAGGAAAGATTTGGCTTACCATTCATGTGGTTAAAGGCCCTTGAGTCAATGATCCAAGTGGAATCAGTGGTAGTGGAGACATGGAACACAAAGGCCGCATTACCTAATGTAGATGCAAATGAAGTAGAATGGGTCATAGTAACTGAACTGTCCATCTGGCACAAGGCCCTACCATATGATTCCAGATGATTATGGAAGGAGTTAATGATATCCTCCTTGGGGTTAGAACCAATGGAATGTTCCCAAGTAGTACCGGTAGACACCCTTGCAGACTGAGTATCTTGAGCTGCCATATTTGCTGCATTATGCTTCTTTTGACCTTGCACCTTACCCTACTCTTGGTTTTTTGTAGCCCACTTCGGCTTCCCAATGAGATCCCAGCATACGCCGGCAGTGAGCACACAACTTGTCGTTATCATCAACATTCTTGGCATCACACTTCTTTCCCATATTATTACCACCTGCTATAGCCCCCTGACTTGTAACCATCACACTCCATCTACTTTCCTTAGACTGGACTAGAGCATACACCTCTTGAACTAAAGGCAACTCACTACTTCCCAAAATCTGAACTCTGAGAAGCTCATACATAGGGTTTAATCCCAACAAGAAAGCAAAAACCCACTGCTAAGAGACCAACTTCTTATAAGCTTAGGCATCATGATCAAGTTTCCACCCTACAGTCTGATAGTAACCAAACTCCTTCCAAACTATAGTAAGGGCTCAATAATATGCTGACAAACAACAGTCACCCCGTTTACAAGTTGAGGACTCAGCCTATAACTGATAAATCTTGGCATAGTGTCTTTGATCACAATAGGTTGCTTTGTCTTGTTCTGATATCTCACTAGCAATCTCTGCCCACATAAAGTTCGTCTTCAGGTAGTTTAGACCATACTGTTCTCCTAGTCCCACCTATCATGTTCAGTTGTCCCACTCTTAGGTTCTTTCACTCTCCCATTTATGTATCCAACCTTTCCCCTAGCTGTAACATAAAGTTTTACACCTTTACCCCACTCCAAGTAGTTTAGGCCATTTAAAGAGGTAATTGGCATGAGGAAGATCATAATCTCAACTCCCATACTAGTTGTAACCCAGATGAAGCAGAATCATTAGTTGCCATAGTAATTAGTAAACAGGTTCTACAAACCAAAAAGAACCACTGATGCACAAAAATAAATGTCCCCACCCAATTACTACCACCCACAACCACAAGTAGGGTGCAAAACACAAATTAATCTGCTCTCCAGAATGAAACACCACTAACAGCAACTAACCAGTCCAAACACTTGTGTTCTAATCAGCATTAACCCACAAATCACAAACTCCAAGAGAAAACAGCACATGCCTGTTACAAGGGGATCACACAACCCCTGTACAGCACCTACATGAAGGTAGGCACACCAAAAAACAGCCTTGACAGCATCGGCTGTCACCAAAAAGGGGTTTCCTTGGTGTTAACGACCAAGGAAGAACCCAGAAAAAGCACAAACTGATTGCTCTGACCAGTCCAATTAGGTATTTTTTCTCTTTACAGTCCAAGAAAACAAAAATCTGGGTGAGAAGAGAGTGATTCAGAGAGAAAAAAGTCATATCACCCATGTTTTCTTCTAGAAAGGAGAGAAGATGTGGGAGCCAAAAATCTAGGCTGGTGGCACCCAGTCGTCTATTTATAATAATATGATCAAATATAAGGGTAAAAGTACATAGATACCCTTGGTAGCACACTCAAAAAAAACAATAAAGAAATGCTAGAAACATGCTGACAGCACCCTAGAACTAACAGCAGAAATTACTCTAACAACGGTTCCTATATCATGAAGGGTTCTGGTGACATAGTAAGGAAATATAAAAATCTATCAGCTTGTGGCTCTTTTATCTTTCAAAAAGCCAACAGCTATGCCAGGAACAATATTTTATATTTTCTCTGTCAATAAAACAATTTGATCATTCCTCCTCTCTAAAATTGCTCACGTGGATTTCACTGAGCAATTCTAACTTTAAGTGTTTAACCGCTGATCATGTGTATGGACTAATGATGCATATTTTCCTGGTTGTACCATCTTTATTTTATGGCCAAGGAATTTTCTTTAAATATTAAAAAGAAAAAGAAGCATAAGTGAATTCCCCAAGAATCTAGCAATCTAGGTGAAGCCAAACTAAATTGGCTCAAGACACAACACAAGGAGGAAAAAAAAAAACTCTAATAACATCAGTTCTTTTTAACATTTATCAAAGAAAAACATCAGTTCTTTTTTACGTATTCAAATTTTGAAAAAAAAAACTAATTTTCTGGTTTATCCCCAAGAATATGTTAAATCTGTATGCATGTTCAAGGCAAAATTTGTGATTTTGTGGTTTGTCAGAAGTGACAGACATGCAATGTATATCAAACTAATATGCTCACCAGAAATAAGGAAAGAAAATGTATAACAATCCCGTAGTCTTATATTACCTAATCAAGTAAAAGAAAAGATAATACATTTGATCAAAACAGAGATGATGTTTGCTAAATGAAAGAGACATATGACAAACCTGCATTTGGTCTCCTGTTCTAGATTTTCCTCCAAAAGAATCAATTTTTTCCTTAAGCACTTGCACTCCTCTCGAGAAGCCTCTAATTCTTTACTTACCTAAAATTTTGAGATACTTGTTATTAGTCTATGTAGCCCTGTAAAGAAGAATGCTGAGATGCTTTTGGTAATTGCAATAAGAATCAAACATAACTTTAATAACACATCTAAAAACAAAAGGACCAATATATTATCTGTTAGTTGGCCTTTAACCTATCTGGGCCTTCCTTTATCTGTGAATCCCAAGGAGAGTAGATTTTGGAGTCCAATCCTAGAAAGGTGTGCAAAGAGACTAGCAATGTGGAAGATGAGTTACATCTAATGGGAAGCGGAATCACTTTGATCAAGTCTACCTTCGCAAATTTGTCAATATATTATCTATGTTTAGGATTCCACAGAAGGAGGCTAGAAAGATTAAGAAAATAACGAGGGATTTATTATGAGAACCAGGGCAGGTGAAAAAAGATCACTTAGATGGGAGATAGTGACTAAGGCCCCATTCCTTTACCAGTAAATAAGCTTGAGAAAGTTAGTCGATGGGTATTTTTTTCCCATTGACCAACTTTACAATGTTCTTGTTGCATTTACTAATGGGCCCCACAGTAAAATAAGCTCCACGTCCCTGGGTAAAACTTACCCATCTCCCAGGTGGGAAAGGGTAAGTAACTTTCCCACCTGGGGAGAAATTTTTTAAAGCATAATGGGACAACTTTACCAATTTGATATTAGCTTTTTATGGGTAAAAATGTTATTCTGTTACTTGTCTAGGAATCCTAGAAATCAAAAAAAACATGGGTAAGTTACAAACATGAAAACGAATGAGGCCTAAAAGTATACAAGAGGGAAGAGTGAGTGTGTGTTATGTAGACAAAAAGAACTTAGCATTGTTAGGTAAGTAGATTTGGACGTGGCCTTTAGTGGGGGGGGG